GTCTTCGTAATTAAGATCAATTAGCGTTTTGAATTTATGTATAATAAAGTGAAAAAGGAGCTTGATTATTTTCGGCCAACGACTAAGAAGTTTGAAAATTGTCGCAAATTTGAGTGACATCTCTAATTTTCTCCTTGAACTTACGAATTTTCACAAAGGATGCGAATCCGTTCCGATACATGTCCGATGCAAATACGAGCGATTCCGATTTGTTGCAAAAGAGTTAGTATTTTCAACAGGCTCGACAGATATCGTTTTTTCTTCTTCTTCTTTTTTACTGACGAGTACGTCGACAACATCAGCGACTTACCTGACCGAAAAGCAAAAACCACAGAAAAGCTTGTCAAGTGATTACAATGGCATTCCACCGGTTTGCCAATGATATCGTCTGTCTTGTGCAACTTGCATCCAAGGCTGGACCAGTGACGCTCTGGGCAATAAAATGAAGAGCATGGACATATATTGATTATTATGAGGAAAAAATGGCGCAAATTTATAAATGTCTTAAAATAAAATAAATATCTGGATAAATTGCACCAGCAATTAAAGTTAAAAACCACCACGACTACCCCTACCACTTTCCCGACCACGACAACCACCACCACGGACGCCTCCGTCGCCGTCGTCACCTTGTCACCTTGTCACCTTGTCACCTTGTCACCTTGTCACCTTGTCACCTTGTCACCTTGTCACCTTGTCACCTTGTCACCTTGTCACCTTGTCACCGCCACCTCTACCTCTACCTCTACCTCCATTTCTAGCACCGTCATCACCACCAGCACCATTATTCTGTTGCCAACGCAAACCACCAACATTCCAATTACTGCCACAATTACCAGGCACTGTACCACCACCAGAACCAGCATTATCCTACCGCCAATACCACCTCACCACTCTACCACTACCACCACCGCCACGTACCACCATTACCACCGCCGGCGTTTCCAACAACAACAACACCATTTCCACCAATGTCACTAATATCAAACTAGATGTTGGCGTCAGTCATAATTCTCTTCCATGATATGCTAGTATACTCACGAACTACGTCCCAGAAGACACAACTAGTCGGAGTCCCAGGGTTCCCATCACTGTCCTTTAAGGCTGGAAATGTCAGTCTAACAGGTTCGGTTAGATTTTGCACGGATTGATTGTACACAGAGCTTGATATGACTTCATCACTTAGTAATGGTTCCTCGTCTCCTTCTTGAGGATTTGACTGAAACAGTTTGTTGTTTGCGTAATAAATAAACCCAATACGAATGGATGATTGAATATTACTTGCAAGAATGCTTTTTGGTAGCTTTACAAAGATACCATTATTGTCGTCTTTGTCACCATTGCCGTTATTGCCGTTGCGGTTGCCATTACCATTACCATTGCCAATATTTGGACTTGACATGACAGTTGCAACAGGAGAGCTGCCTCCCTCGGTCTTCTTACCAAATGTGACACCTTGGAAGGTACGGCGAGTCACTTCTATTGCTTGTATGGCAACATTAGTGCTATTGATAACCCTAGATCTTGAGCCGTCTTCCAAGGGGATCTTCTGATTAAGCCTATCTAACGCAATGATAAACCTATAGAGTTGAAAAAAGACCTAGTGTTGATACTTGACATACACAGAGGTGAAAGATGTTTACCAAAGTAATTAGGAAATTAGTCCAATTTGGACTCAAGCTCCTCGATCATGCACCTCCTTGCATTTATTTATAGCCTCCCTTTATCAAAAAACGTTGACTTGATCATACAATRTATTTGGCGAAATAAAAAGTACTTTTAATCAATTAAAGAACGGAAAAATTCAATTCAATTCACTAGATTCAAGTGAATAAGTGTAAGATGAAAAATCAAGCTAAATACTAAGTAAATGGAAAATAGGCATCGCTCACTTACAAAGGGACGTGCTGATAACATGAAAAACCTTTCAGAAGAACATTTATTGGAAAAAAATACTTACCTTGTTGGAGCATTTGAGCTTCCAGCAAGGACTTCTTTGTTCATTTCCATGACAACGTCAATCACCTCAACGACTATATCAGCAGTCTAAATGGATAGAAAAAGGAAAAGGCATTTTTAAGGGTAAGCGGTCATCGGGGAAATTGATTTAAATTGTAGTATAATATTCAGGATGAAAGTGAGGTTTTTACCTCGTTCAGCTGATCTTCTACCGATAAGATGTTATCCACYATGTCTGCAGCAAGATCGGCATCAGCCTCAGACATGTCTTTAGCAGATCTTGATTTGAACAGCTTGGTGAAGTTCTTAGCAACTTCTTTGACATTGCGARAGTTGAGCTTCATCTGTAAATAGAAAATGATGAATCCATTCCAAGTTCATGGTCACCTGCAGCTTTATATATATATAAAATAAGCAAAATCTTAGTCGACCCTACCTTGGATAAGTTATTCATTGCCTCAGTTTTCTTTGACTTGTATGAGCAGATGTCATTATTCGGGTCAGTCCACACAGCACCAGTATCGAAGTCTCCGCCGCATCTTCTCGTAGCAGACGACCCACTCGGTCCCAAAGGACACTCGACAGTCACTGAGTCGCCTATTTTGGTTGACTGCCAAGTAAAGAAACCTTGGATATTTTGCTTGCCTGTTGTTTCCTTGATACAAATTCCTATGAATATGTGATGGGATACTGAGTCATAAACATACGTTTAAGTCCTTGCATTACATCCGAAATTCATCAGCAGTCTCTATAATGAGGCGAGATTGACGTTTATGTAGGGTGTTGGAACAAGACAATACCACTCATAAAAATATGTTAGGCTTGTGACACACAAAATACATAGCTATGTAAATCGCCGGTTTGAGTCGATACCTGTGTCTTTGACCAAGATTGATTTCCAGTCTATCTTCAAGCCTTGTATCTTGTTTGTCTTCGCTCCTTCTTTGAGAATCTCCACGAGGCTTTTATAATAGTCGTAGAAGTCTTCGTTTGGGATTTTCTTCTTTCCGTAAATAACACATTCCATTGCGATCTTGTTGGACCTCTCTTCCCTACCACGACAATACATACCATAAAAATAAACGAACATGTAAATATATTGTCAAATGTTTATTTTGAAATTCGTAAAAAAGGTAAGATGTCTTTATTTCATATCTTTTAGTATAAAACACAGTCCAGTTTGTCGACTCGTTATTGTTCCACTACTCACCAGTGTTTGCATACAGTTCTGTGTTTATACTCTCTTGGCGAAAATGTACTTGAAAGATAATCAGCAATTTGTCCGCAAGATTCGCAAGGATCCTGTAAAGAAAGGTGACGCATACCAACAATAGTCAATCAAACAGTGGAACTTTCCTCTGAGTCAAAGAACATGAATCCCACCAATGGACCTTTCTTAAAAGTATCGTTAATGAGAGGCTTACATGGAAATACAAAAGAAATCATACTTTTACTCAATGGAATTTGTGGCATTTCTTTTGTATTTCCATGTTAGCCTCGCATCCAAGATACTTTTAAGAAGGATGCATCAAAGCACAAAAGAAAACTAGGAACGACGATATGGCATAACAGAATGGAATGATAACTAAATACAAGTTACTTACTTTGTTTTTGTTATTTGGCTTATCATTTGCTTTGAAACTTATGACAGACGTGAAGTAATCTGAAAAATAATTATGAGTAAGGGATGTGTAAAGTCAGGGTTATGCTGGGTGACAAGACCTAATCAATGGCGCAACAGTGCCAAGATAACGTGAGAAGGGTGTGGTGGAAATATATATTGAAGATGTGCTGAATTAATAGTCCTACATTACCTGTAACCACTAGTAAAGCCCTTTTACTTTCTGCTGTTCCATATCTATTACTTGCTTTACACCAGTAGTAACCCTGATTAGAAACATCCATTGTCACAGTGTTCGTGGGAATTTCTATTGAACTCCTGTACCACGTGATACTAGCAGGAGGAGACATTGTTACAGCGCAAGATAGTGTCACTGCTGTTCCGGATTTAACATTCTTGGATTCTGGTCCTCTATTGATTTGGGGTTTTACTGAAAATAAGTCAAAAATACAAAGAATGTTGCCATACGCACAGATATCTTCACAGGTAAAAGCCATGGAATAGTGTAAAGGCGTTGTCTGCATGCATGAGGATGCACAATATCACTAAACTTGCAATTGTAATAAACCTTGTAATAAACCTTGATTTTTACCTTTAGCTTTATTTTTTTCCAATTTCAGGCCACGTGTCATTCCCCAGAGTATCATTTCTCATGAGAAGACACTTGAATATGGATGCGACTCAAGAATATATCTTATATATTTTCAAGAGAATGACACGTAGTCTAAAATGGAAAACATTATGCTCAAGGTGTAGAGATCTGTTCAAATGATTTTCCGTAAACACAAGCTCATCAGAAGCAGATATGCAATAGCAAACTTACCCACACAGTGCCCATAACGCATGCGCAGATTATCAGGATCTAATCCACATTTTTCAACATTCAGTGAGTTTTTCCAGCTAAACACAACATCGAGACATGTCCATCTCTCATCACAATTTTCGGGATGTTTAGGTACAGCTACCAATGTCAAGCTTGCTGACTCAATACATTCGTTGCTAAGCAACGTAATGCTAATAGCAGGTCCTCTCACGAACATAGGGTTTTTAAATCTGTACCTGACGCTTGTACGACCTTCGATGTTATCAAAAAACACCATGATGTTTGTTTTAACGTTTATCCGATCGTGTGTCATACTGACATTGAAGGTACTGCATCTATCTCCCGTTATATTTGTAACATGTATCTCGTTGATTGATTGGATATTTAGGCTAAAGACAACCACTTGTGTCGTATCGTTTATCTGTACAGTAATGTTTGTTTTTGAACAGGCGTTCCTCGCCTTCTCATATAACCCTCTTACATCTTTACACTCCACACAAGTGATTGTAACATTTTCATTCGTGTTGATAATCGTTCCAATGGCATCATTTCCTGAGTCAGAAACATTGATGCTGATAACGAACTTATCGCCGTCTGAACAGGTGAAGTTTTTGTGGATGGCGATACTGCCGTTGTTACGGTAAATGCAAAAAGGAAGTGAAGAGTTACTGGCAGGTTGATAACAGGAATCGATATCACCAGATATAACATTAGGAGCACTTTCTTGTGAAGATTCAGTAACACCTGTTATCGTGTAGGTCAAGGGTGGAATGACAACAGAACCTTGTTCGTAGGTTGCAGTAAAATTTGCCACGATCAAACCTAGTTTGAGGTCATCGGTAGGGACCTTCACTTCAAAGCTGGACACTATGATTGGATTGTAAGCTGTAAACAAAATTGCAGTGACCTTAATGCAACACTAAACAATTACGAGGAAATACGTTTAATCAAGTTGTGACTACTAACCGGTGCACTGTGCTGCAGATGTCACAGCTTTTCTTCCCCAAGTCTTTTCTCCTCCTCTGCATGTCTTACATTGGTTGTTGTTGTATTCATAATGATCCACTGGACAAGGTTGACATTCTGTAAGATTGCCATTGTGAATGAAACCAGAGGGACAAACTAGCAAGTAGAAAAATCACATTTAGTGATAAACTGGTGATAAATGGTCAAGCATTTGATGCAATTATGGAAAATCTTATTTGTATTGCTGAATTGCAATCATTGCAATCATGATATAACAAAAGAGACGTATCACGAATATTTTCAATCGGGCAGAATACTGTTGTTCTAGGCGACATGCACTTACAGCTGTATGGTTCTAACATATCGATATAATTATGAATAAATTATAGTTTTTTTTTAGCTAGCGCTTAAGAAAGCACAAAACGCTTTTCACTCACTTATCAGTGTTTGACAGTACTAAATTCCCTTGAGTACCAGGTTGATGTCAAATCAACTCGCGAGTAAAAAGTCTGAATCTAAGAATCATTGGAATCATGAGTGTTATTCGGGCTGTTTATAGTCTCTTGGTAACGAATAAACTATAAGATACCGTATTCGAGTACGAGTTTACTGTTTCTAGATATATGAATTACTGAAATAATTGTTTTTAGTATTTTTTAACACGAGTGAATTTAATAAATAACGAAGAGAGAGTTTTTTCAATTTTATCTATGCAAGTGGCACACATCGACAAACGAGCGTGTGTGGGTACGCGTTATATTTCAGTGAATATATATTTCACCGATATGCACTTCGCCTTTGGTAATGCTGTTTTAGTATATACCAACTTGCCAACCCGTCCTTTGGAGGTTTGTAAGTTGGTATAAACTAAAACAGTATTAGACGTATATTGTGGCCAATGAGCAAGTTGGATTTATTATATTAAGTTGTGTAAAAATACTGATCACCGATAATCACTGAGCCTGAGGGAAATAATTGTTTTAGACTTGAATATCAGAGAAAAGTCGAAATTCTGGAAAAGAAAACGTTTTAGTATTGCTTCCGCTTTGGGAAACTTTGGGAAACTTCATAATCACAGTTTTAGCAATCACAGTGCGCAATACTCTATATTCAAGTCTAAAATTGTAATACATTGTGATATCAATAAGCAAAAGTAGGAAAAGACATTTGAGTTTAAAATGCTAACGTACTGAGGACAAAAGCGTAGACGTCATTGGCCCAGGCACCACCTATACCATTCACACAATTTGTAGCAATGCCATGTTTGTTATAGGTGGAAAAGGCGTTCAGTCCAGAAAAGCATTCGCGCCCATCGAACTGTACGCTAAAAATTTTGTATCCTCTGCTCCTTGACATCCTAGCACATCTTCCTATTGAAGTTGTATTTCCATGTGGCCAATAATTTTCAGAAAGTTGTTCAGACAAGGCACGATCCCATGTATCCTTAAAGCATCCAAGGTGCCAATAGTAGACTCCATTACTGATGTTATAACCTACATGATATGAACAGTGTCAGTAGTAGTGCTTTATGTAGTACAGTAGTAGGGATCGGATTTTAGGTCAATTGTTTAGCGCATTAATTTTTGCAGCTGGAGAGAGGAAAATTGGAGAAACCAGAGAACGGCTCTTGCATCACGGGAGACACTCAACAAGGGATGCCGAAGGTTAACTGAATGCCTTGTGCCATGCGACTTTTGCACAACTCTGAATCGAATTTAGATTTGGATCGCTTGTATTTTCATTGGCTACAAGGACAAGCAAGGCGTTCACCCCGGTAAACTTAACAGCAAGCATGTAAGAGACTAGAGTATCTGCTATGAAATGTAAGTCAAAGACCGCGAAGTAAAATATTAGAGATTAGTATGCCACTCCTATCCCCTCTCCCGCTGCTCTTTCTGCAAGTTCAGTATTTAAGTGCACACTTAATGTTGTTTATGATAGATATGCTTATGATTATGAATGGATAAACGAAAAGTCCTCTTTGAGATACATTTGAACAAGACGGCTGATCATACATTATTTATTTTTCGACACTACTTACGAGTCAGGAAGTACACATCATTAGCCTTGACTCCACCAACACCATTCGTACAGATAGTATCTTTACCATATTTGGCATATACAAAGATGGTGTCTATCCCGGTCCAGCATTCACCATTGTTCTGCACACCGAACGCTTTATACCCATTTAATCCTGATATATTGGCACATTTACTGACGATTTGGCTACTTTGGCTGTAATTAGCCAGTAGGATAGGCAAAGCTCTGCTACGCAGGTCTTCTTTAAAGCAGCCAACGTGATAATACGAATCTAAAATGACAGGGAAATATAGAATAGAATAGAATAAATTATTTATATAGCGCCAAAATCCTAAAGTTCAATGGCGCTTAAATACAATGCATTATAAATGATAAAAGTATATATATGACTTATATACATCTAATAAAAATAAAACAAACTTAGAGTTCAAACTAAAAGGTTTAAAATAAATAAATATTATTGAATCATATTCTGTGACAAGGTCTTCACACCCAGGAAGTAAACAAAACACTTTCACGTCGCGCGATGTCACAGTTTAGTCCATGAGCAATGATACTCAATCTAATCTTACCAGCTTTCCCACTGGATTGTGCTTCACCAGTTATGACCAGAGATATGACTAACAACACCAACATAATACCGTAAGCCGATATGATGTTCTCTCGTTGAACTTGCATTGGATTAAACTGGGCCGGTCTATCCCAAGCTCTCAATAAGACTACGCACAAGCAGGAGTAGCAAACGAGATAACGATTTTTGTCACTATCAAATTACAGTTTCTAAACAGTTTGTCGCAGAAAATGTATGTTATTGAAAAATTAGCCAGAAGACATTTGGACGCCAACTCTTTTGATGTACGTAGATGCAAAGCTGAATTATAATTAGGAAGGTATTCGATAGACTGTGAAGTTGTGAACTGACCCTTAGCAGACTCTGACAATACTTTGACGTAGGAATAATAATAATAATAATAATAATAATAATAATAATAATAATAATAATA